AATCATACAGTACATAGCCTTTTTAGACTGACTCCTTTCACTTAGGAGTATGCATTTAAGTTTTATACATGTATTTTCATGGCTTGTTAGACCATTTTTTTTAGTGCTGAATAATAATATTCCATTGTCAGGATGTACCACAGTTTATTTATCCATTAATCTAAGGACATCATGGTTGCTACCAAGTTTTGGCAATTATGAATAAATCTGCTGTAAACATATATGTGCAGGGTTTTGTGTGGACCTAAGTTTTTAACAACCTTGGGTGAATACCAAGGAATCAGATTGCTGAATTATATGGTAAGAACATGTTTGGTTTTGTTAGACACTGAAAAACTGTCTTCCAAAGTGGCTGTACCATTTTGCATTCCCACCAGCAATGAATGAGAGTCCCTGTTGCTACAAATCCTTGTCAGCAATTGGTTTTGTCAGTATTCTGGATTTTGGCCATTCAAATAGGTGTGCATTGATATTTCATTGTTTTAATATGCATTTCACTTATGATTTATGATGTGAAGCATCTTTTTATGATTATTTGTAATCTGTGTATATTCTTTGGTTAGGTGTCTCTTAAGGTCTTTGACCCATTTTTTTAAACAGGTTGTTTATTTTCTTATTGCTGAGATTTAAGAGTTTTTTGTATATTTTGGATAACAGTTCCTTATCAGATGTGTCTTTTTCAAATATTTTCTCCCAGTTTGTGGCCTTTTATTCTCTTTACAATGTCTTTCTCAGCAGAAGTTCTTAACTTTAATGACATATAGCTTATCAATTCTATTTTTTCCTGGATTGTGCCTTTGGTGTTGTATCTAAAAAGTCATCCCTATACCCAATTTCATTTAGGTTTTCTCCTATGTTATCTTCTAGGAGTCTTATAGTTTGGTGTTTTATATTTACGTCTGTGGTCCATTTTGAGTTAATTAATTAATTAATTAATTTGGCTGCACTGTGCAGCTTGTGGGATCTTAGTTCCTCGACCAGGGATTGAACCTTGGCCCTCAGCAGGGAAAGTGCGGAGTCCTAACACTTGGACCACCAGGGAATTCCCAATTTTTAAAAATGTATTTTATTGAAGTATAGTTGATTTATATTTTGAGTTAATTTTTGTAAAGAGTTTAAATTCTCTGCCTCAATTCTTTTTTTTGTTTACAAGTGGATGATGTCCTGTTGTTTCAGCACTATTTGTTGAAAAGACTATCTTTGCTCTATTGCATTGTCTTAGGACCTTTGTCAAAGATAAGTTTGACTAAATTTATTTGGGTCTATTTTGGGGCTCTCTGTTCTGTTCCATTAATCTGTTTGTGTATTCTTTCACCAATACCACACAGTCTTGATTACCATAGCTTTATAGTAAGACTTGAACTCAGGTAGTATCAGTCAGCCAACTTTGTTCTTTTCCTTCAATATTGTATTGCCTATTCTGGGTCTTCTTTCTCTCCGTATAAACTTCAGAATCAGTTTGTCAATATCATAAAATAACTTGCTGGGATTTTCATTGCTATTGCATTGAATCTATAGATCAAGTTGGTAAGAATTGACACCTTGACAATATTGAGTGTTCCTATCCATAAACATGGAATATCTCCATTTATTTAAGTTGTTATTTGATTCCATTCATCAGAATTTGTAGTTTTCCTCATATAGATCTTGTACATACTTTGTTATATTTATACCTAAGTATTTTATTTGGGGGAGTGATAATGTAAATGGTATTATATTTTTAGTTTCAAATTCCACTTGTCCATTGCTGATATATAGGAAAGAAATCAACTTGTATATAAACCTTGTATCCTGTTTTCTTGCTCTATTTGCCTATTACTTCCAAAAGATGTTTTTGTCATTCTTTAGGATTTTTACGCAGACAGTCATGTCATCTGAGAACAAAGACAATTTTATGTCTTCCCTCCCAATCTCTATACATTTTTTTTCCTTTCCACGTCTTATAGCATTAGCTAGAACTGCCAGTTTGATGTTGAAAAGGAGTGCTGAGAGGGGATAATCTTGCCTAGTACCTGTTCTTAGTGGGAAAGCTTCAAATTTCTCACCATTACATGTAATGTTAGTTATAGATTCTTTATAGATATTCTTTATCAAGTTGAGGAAGTTCCCCTCTATTTCTATCATTAATGAGTGTTGAATTTTGTCAAATTTTTTTCTCAATCTATTAATATGATTATGTAATTTTTCTTTTTTAGCCTATTGATGTGATAGATTACATTAACTGATTTTGGATGTTGAGCCAGCTTTGCATACTGGGGATAAACCCCCCTTAGTCATGGTATATAATTGTTTTTATCCATTGTTGCATTAAGTTTGCTAATATTTTGTTGATTTTTATATCTGTGCTCATGAGAGATATTGGTGTGTAGTTTTCTTACAATATCTTTGGTTTTAGTCTCAGGGTGTTGCTGACCTCATAAAATGATTTGGGAGGTATTCCCTTTGCTTCTAAACTCTGAGAGAGATTGTAGAGAATTGGTACAATTTCTTCATTACAGTTTTGGTAGAATTCACCAGTGAACCCATCTGGGCCAGGTGCTTTCTGTTTTGAAAGGTGATTTTACTTATTTGATTTCTTTAATAGACATAGGCCTACTCAGATTATCTATTATATTCTTTTGTGACTTTTAGCAGATTTCTTTCAAGAAATTTGTCTGTTTCATCTACTTTAATTTGTGGGCACAGTGTTGTTCATAGTATTCCTTCATTATCTTTTTAATGTCCATGAGATCTGTGATGATGTCCCCTTTCCATTTCTGATATTGGTAATTTGTGTCTTCTCTCTTCTGCTCTTTTTTTTTTTTTTTTTTGCAGTACGCGGGCCTCTCACTGTTGTGGCCTCTTACGTTGCGGAGCACAGGCTCCGGATGCGCATGCTCAGTGGCCATGGCTCACGGGCCCAGCCGCTCCGCGTCATGTGGGATCCTCCCGGACCGGGGCACGAACCCGCATCCCCTGCATCAGCAGGCAGACTCTCAACCACTGCGCCACCAGGGAAGCCCTCTTCCCGCTCTTTTTTTTAGTTAGCCTGGCTAGAAGCTTACCAATTTTATTGATTCCTTTCAAAGAATCAGCTTTTGGTTTCATTGATTCAACTAGCTATTATTTCAATTTTATTTAAAGGAAATAATTGGTAATGATCTGACCTGCAGAAGGATTTGTCACACTGTCATTTGGATCATTTACTTTCTCACACAGAAATGTACAAGAAAAGGCTTTACCAAATCCTAGATGCTGAGTTTTAATTTTTACCCATTCTCTTTCAGTTAGAGCCACCTTATTTAACCCAGTCTAATCACCAAAGTTTGAGAAAATAAAAATATTAACAAAAAGATAGCTCCCCACTTCCTATCTTTATAAAGAAAGAAGAATTCTTTTCTGTAAGATAGACTCTTTATCAGTTAAATGGTTTTAAATTCTTCAAAGAAGGAAAAATTAGCCATATGCATTTGACTTTCACACTTAAATCTTCAGTTCTAGTCATTAAAGGATTCTCTTCCAGTGTTCCCTCCCTCCATTCTTTTAACACAGTCAAGGTCAGTGACATAATTTGCAGGGCCCAGTGTAAAAGTTATAACGTGGAGCCCCTTTTTCAAAATACAGGGGGAAAGTGCAGTTAAAGGTACAAAATATAAAGGTTTTTCTTTTGAAAATATTTTATTATAAAACATGAAAGAGTAATAGTGATAGATGAGTAATAACATTTATGTTACAACAAGTAATGTCACAAATTGCAAAAAACAATCGTTTGGTGCCATGATTTTGTATAATACAATAGATAATGATACTCTATTATATCTATATATCAATATAGATATATCTTGATTGATCGTAACATAATTTTTTAGGTTTCACTTTTCTGCAAATTCATTTATTAGGCCATTAAAACTTCTTCTAGCAACTTCATTTTCAATTGGTATAATTGAAAGTAACATCAGTCACTCTAAACAAATAATTTTTGATAATTTTTAATTTTGAAAAGCATCTCTGTTGATGCAACTGTTATTGGTAATTTTAAGAGTATTTCATAGGCTGTAACATTAGAATAAAGTTATCAATTATTTTGAAATATAAATTCAAATATATCTTAGAACTGATGCTTCTTGTAGAAAATTTTTTCTAAAATGTTTTAACTCTTCTTACAAATCAGTTTTCTGTAATTCTGAATTTAGGTTTAAATGTTAATAAATATAATAGCATTTTACTGTTTCCTCTGACATTTCCTGTAACTTCTGGAGGTTGTACAAGAAGCTGAAAGTGGTTTCATGATTTGTATGGAATTTTAAATGCCTGTTGATTTCTAACACTGTATCTTCAATCACAAGGAAAAATAATGTTACAGTCATCTATTTGTTGATAATTGGTCCATGCAAGTTTTTATATGAAAATAGTGCCTTTTTCTGTGAAATGTGAGGATCTTTAAATTTAATTTCTATTTCCAAGCCTTTGGATATTTATTGTGCAATGTTGCAGTGGTTTTCAAAACCAGAGATTCTAAATTCTTTGAAGAATCCTAATTAGTCTCTGATATAGTTTATTGAAATATCCATGTGTCCACTTCATGTTGTAATTAGTTAATGACAAAGTGTACTGCCTAAGTGGTGGCAGATCTTGTCCCAGCGCTCAGACCACAGAGTTAATATCTGCACTGATGCAAGAAAAAAAATTATGTATGGTGACAGATGTTAACCAGAATTATTGTGGTGATCATTTTGCAGTATGTACAAATATCAAATTATTATTTTGTACACCTGAAACAAATATAATGTTGTATGTCAATTATACCTCAGTTTAAAAAATTTAATTAAAAAAAGGAGATAATAATAATAGTTCCTGGGACTTCCCTGGTGGTCCAGTAGTTAAGACTTCGCCTTCCAATGCAGGGGGTGTGGGTTCGAGCCTTGGTCAGGGGCTAAGATCCCACATGCCCTGTGGCCAAAAAACCGAAACATAAAACAGAAGCAATATTGTAACAAATTCAACAGGACTTTAAAATTCTTTTTAAAAATCTTAAAAAAAAATAACAGTTCCTACCTCATAGGATTATTGTGAGGATTAAATAAGTAACTGTAAAGTTTTTAGAAAAAAAATATCTGTGCAGATACTTCAGAGATGGGCTCCAGGGACTGACTGGCAAGCAGGTCCTCCACCACAGGTTACAGTGCTGTCCCTAGGGAACACCTCCTTTCTCCCAGGGCCAGCTTCCACTGGTGCGCAGAGTCCCCGCAGGGACCCCTGGGGTCTCAGACTGCCCAGTGTGTGTGTGTGTGTGTATGCCTCGTGCTCAGACTAAACGTTCAGCATGCGTGGTGCCCATTGTTGCCTGCCTGATCTCCTGCACATTTTGTTGTCCCATTGGACTACAGTTACATAACACAGGTTCTAAGATATTATTATTAAGAATTTCAAGATGTGAGAGCAGAGCACTAAACAAAACCTTTGAGAGCAGGGCCTTGTCCAAGTTCACAGGTCACACACGTGTCCATGAAACCATTCCTGAATCCAGTAGTTCTCAATCAGGGGTCATTTTGCCTATGAGGGTGGGCTACTTTGGGCTCTAATTACGTGAGATTCCAACTGAGCCCCTGAAAGCAAGAGTGACAAGATATATTAGCACCAAAAGTAGGCCCTAACCCTTCTTTTTGCACTCTCAAGCACAGGGATTGTCCAGTGGAACCTTCTGGGACACTCCAGTCCTGGGCAGTTCCTATAGCTGCTGTCAGCTGTACTTTCCTTCCTCAAGAGACCTGGACAACTTGCGTGATGGGAGACGGTGTGGTGACAATAACGGACATGGAAATTGCCAGGTAAGACTTTGTTGCTCAAGTAACAGTCTAAGGTGGGTCAGGTTTAGGGTGAGGTGTAGGGTGCTCTGCATCACAGTCATTCAAGGATCTAAGTTGCTGGCAGGTATCGACATCCAGTGGCACATAAAGGCTCACACACAGTCCAGGGCTTAGAAGTGCTACAGGTCACTTCCCATTCAAATTCCAATGGCCAGAATTCAGGAATATGACCATACCTACGTACATGAGGGCTGGGAAATGTAGTCTAATTCTGTGCACAGCATAAAGAAGAAATGGTTTTGGAGATCCCCTGCCAGCCTCTGCCACAAGAAATTTGCAACAATGGGAGATTTAGAGTGAAATGTATATAATGCCTCCCTAGCCCTTCTGAGACAGGCATGGTCCTTTGGGGCAGACTTCCCTGAGAAGCAGCTTTCTAGCTATGATTCCTTGGACTTGTTAATAGTGTTTGGTTCACGTTACAGCTGATGTTCTAGCAAGATCATGCATGGAGTATCCAGCATCAAGTAAGTGCAAAGCTGACTGACACTTCTCATTATAAATTAGCAAGTTGGTTTGGGCATAAATCAGTCTTGAGTGTACTTAGTGTGACCCTGTTGCTCATAGTTAAGCTGATCATCATCGCTGTGTATGTGCTGATCAGAAATGTCAAGCTCATGACTATGGAGGTAAAAGCAACCTTGAGATTATTCTAACTCTCTACCTGCTTCCCATTAAACATGAAATTCAACATTACAAATGGTAAACAAATTGAGTGTGTAGCATTAAATATTCAATGCCAGAAGGTTCATTTAAAATAATTTGTGTAATTTATCGTCTCACACCAAAACCCATGATACAATTACTTTTGGTGCCTTTTAATCTGATTCTTTATGGCAAGTAGTAGATCTATGACTATAGGGCAGTAATCCTTTCCTATTTCACCTTGTCAATATTTTAGAGGAAACGAGCTGGAAGAATTGTTGAAAGAGGGCACCTAGCGGATGAGGCAAAGCCCTACAGATACAGTGTCTAGAAAAGTCCTAGTTAACACCCATTGCTGTGACATAGTCACTAAAAACACCCCCTTTCACTCTCAAAAAGAGTCCCGGTTTGGACAATAAATTATACATAAACCCTTAGAACCAGGGAGTAGTACCTCTCTGTGGCCACCACTGTTCAGGGTCTGGTTTGCAGCTTTACAGAACCAGCACAAGGGTTATCAGGACACTGAGGCTGATTGAGCATGGGAGCGAGCCGATTCACATCGAGGAAATGACAGGAGACTGATCCCTAAACCAGGATGCTGTGTTTTTAACTTATTACGAAGAATATAACTGCCAGAGTGGAAACCAATGTTCGTTTGTCAGTACGTTCCCTCCCTTGAAGTGTATAGTCTCCTTGGAAAGCTCAGAACCCTTGGAATTATCAAAATCATAATTCTTGTGGATGAGGAGATCAAGGTGAGCCATGTTAGCTGGAGGAACTACAGTAATTGGCAAGACAGGTTTCAATACTTGGTATCTACACAAAGCACATCCTGTGTCCTACTAAGGGTTTTCCTTTGCAACCAGGAAAGCGGCTTGGGTTCTCTTTCCAAAGAGATATTTGGGGTCAGCGTCAGCTACAGGTAAAGAAGAAGGATGTGTGGTTCCAAGCAATCCTCTGTTCTTTTCTAATATTATGTCCCAAGTTCCCTCACCCATCTACAAGGGCTGTCAGGGCCGATGTCAGTGGCAGACATCCTCTGATGCCTGAGGTTCAGCCGGGAGCAGCCTCCCCGACTCCTTCCTCGCTTGCAACACTGGAAGTGACAGATCTAAACAGTCTTGCGTGTACTTAGTGTGAATCCTGCACCACTCCCCATCTCACGCCCCACTTCCCCATAGACAACAGACACATGGCCAGAAGAGGATTAAAATCGGCTTTATTGATGAATTGAAGAGCACAGCTGGGATCTGAGGCCCAAGCGAGGCTTCTTTCATCCTCTCTGAAGTGGTGACAGCTGAGGGCAGTGGGTGGGGCTCACCAAACTTACCCACCCTGCCACAGACCGAGGCTGGAACGTGGAGAGCTGAGTCCTGGGTGGGCCCACCACGGGCAGGTCCTGCTGGGTCTGTTTACGGCATGGAGACTGGAAGCCCAAAAGCAGGTCCAAGAGAAAGAGAGAGAGAGAGAGAGAGAAGCAGGAGGACAAGTAAGCAGGGTCCTTTAGCACATTATCTCCACCCAGTAGAGAAAGGCGGCCCCAAGAGTCTCAAGTTCATCAACCACAACCATCCCGAGGTCACCCAGGTGGAAGCTTCTCCCCAGTCCTTTCCTTCCAAGCTGAAATGTAGTTAGGAGAGCTTTACCCTAATCGGCTGAGCAAGGAGTGTATGAATAAGGAAAAGGGTTTCTCCCACGAGGTGAGGCTGGGTTAGGAGCCTGGGCTGCTCAGTGAACAAGTGGCCAAAGGCCATTTTGTGTGAGCCTCCCAGTGTGCAGCCACTAACACAAACAGGTGCTGGCTCGGGACTGACTCCTGATACCTCATACCTGAACACTGACCACTGAATTCCTTTTCTTTCCTGTGCTCTGGAGCTCAGACCCCTGAGGACTGCTGAGGAAGAACTTGACAGACTTCGCCCACCCCCCAACCCCCGGATGGGTGAAATGGATGAAGGAGATCAAAAGGTACAAATTCCTAATTTTAAGATGCATAAGTCCTGGGGATGTAATACACAGCTTGGTGACTCTGTTAACGATTCTGTATCGTATGTCTGCAAGTTACTAAGAGTCAGCAATCTTAAAAGTTCTCATCACAAGAAAAAAAAAATTTAATTATGTGAGGTGATGGACATTGACTAAACTTATTATGGTAATCATTTTGCAATATATACGTATATCAAATCATTATGTTGTATATCTAAAAATAATATACTGGTATATGTCAATTATATCTTGATAAAACTGAAAAGAAAAGAAAAAAACTTGACTAGGCCACCACAGCTAGGGTACAGTTCAGCTGGACACCTATGGTGTTCCTGTAGTAAAGAGAGTCCCTTTTATTCCATTCAGAGTAACTAACACCTTCTGATTTAACTGTCAGGTGTGGAGTTGTTAGCTTTGGGCCAAAGCAAAGTGGAGGTCCTTTTAGGCCATGCATGGAGGGGATGACAGGAGTAGAATAGCAAGATTCTTCCAGGGCCCGTGAACAGATAGAAGTTGAATGGCAAAGTTGCAGAGCTGAGTCTGAGGTAGCTCTCTTTGGCACAGGAAGTGAGAACATACTAACTGCTGCACTCTGAAATCCTTCCTCCTGCCTGCCATACAGAACACCCCTTTTCTGGTTTTTTTTCCTGTGCTTTTCTATTTCTTTCTATCTTGATGCCCCTAATTAAACTACAGCTGTCTTTTATATTTGGGTGCATTTCTAGTGCACTCAATAGTTTTCCTTTGAGCCTGGGTGACTTCTGCAAAGGAAGGGTTAATCGCATCCATTACCTGTGATTTTTTTTTTTTTTCCCATACTATCACCATTCAAGGGTGACCTCATTTCATGGTAGCAGATGGCACCTTTCTGTAGTTTCCAATGGACTATTTATACAACTTCACTTTGAATAAAACTAAATGATTGCAGAAACATTTTTCCCCAGAGTATTTTTTATTAGGGATTCCTGCCACCATATTAACATATAAAACAATCTGGATGTTGACACAGAAATGCAAATTTCACTATACAAAGGCTCCAATCACAGGTAACATGGCCCCCAACTCTCTAGTATTTCAATGAAATCAATTCATTTTGACTTCTTCCCAGAGTTGTCTTTATAAATAGTAGACAAACCACAAAATATATTCCAGATACATAACATTTTACAATATGTTCCAAGCACGGACAGAAATACACGATACTTCACCTACGTTTTTTTCATGATCCAACTTGCATTAGCACTAAAGACAAGATTGTGTGTGTATATGTATTTGCCATATGTGTGTGTGTATAAAACCACAAATGTACACAAATGGTAGTTTTCATGGAAAACTGAAACCTTTGAGACTGTGGGTTTTATCCACTATGATGTCTGAGAGGGAAAAGGAATAACATGTCACAAATTCCTCAACTGGAGAAAAACAACTATGTATGAAGGGCATATCAGTTGTGTGTATACAAATACACACATATATACAGATTCATATATAAACACATATACCAATAATATGGAATATACATATACTCACACACTTGCTTTGAATTCTGTATCTTACTGTATTATATATTCTCCATCTTTGGAAGCAGTCTTTTCCTCATTTGATTCAGGCAACTGGCGACTGTCTTCTAAGAAAACTTAAGCAGATATTTCAAAAGACTCTGATTCTATCCCTACCAAATGGCATTTCGGGATCCAAGTTTTACTTTTGGTAGCTATTGTTTAAATTCTGCAGACCCTATCCTCTCAACTCTTTCACTTAAAAACATTTCTATTCAATACTGAAGTTTTTGCCTAAGAGAAAGAGATGTTAGCTAGAAATGTTAGAATTATATATTTAATATTCCTTACTATAAATCTGCTTGGCTGGACTATGTGATACTTATTGTGTCAGTATTTTTCAGTGTTTTATGATGGCTAATATATTAATTCCCTAGTTTAAAAAATATTATTTAATATTAGTGTAAAATGGCAAGGGCTAGATGATTTGTTATGGTTAGAACTTCAAAGAAAATGATTTGAAACATGATTAGAAGAGGGAACTAATTTTGTGCAGACTACACTGGAGTACCCTTATGTAAGAAAGTATGACTTTAAGTCATAAACAAGGGGGGAAAAAGTCTTCAGCTTCAAAGGAGGCCATTTGCAAACTTTCCAAATAACCTATAGAAAATATACTTCTACCTTGGTATCGAATTCCAGGTATCAAATATTCTTTATTAAAAAGCAAAATCAATCACTCAATGCATGAGAAAGAACATGCTATAAACTTAATAGCAAATTATACTATAGTTTGCTCAACTGAAGGCTTCATGAGCTGACTTTTAAAACTTATTTACAAAATTAAATGTCTAATAAAGCACTTAGATCTCCATGAATGAGTAGTACTGGAATGGCCAATTTGGAGATTATGTTAATGATAGACTTGGAGTTAAGGGAGAGATTATAGGCAGCCCAATCCCTTTGAAAATATTCCATGCCTTCATTTACAATCTATGGAGAAATCCCTATGCTCTATGCCCTAAGCTCCATACTCTTTTCTTTCACAGTATTGGTAAGTACTGTGCATGGAAAGCCTCAGAACCTTTCTGTCATGGATTTAATGGTATGAAGGAAGGTACTAGAGCATTTGTCCCACCTACTGTCTAGTTAGGGAGTCATTTCACTACTTCATCCAAGCTGAAATGGTATATTATCTAATGAGTTGAGTCCCTTCCACTTTCTTAATGAGAGCCCCAATTATGAATGAGTTAAAATCTTAAGGAAACCAGGAAAGGAAAAGAGTATAATGACCGCCACAAAGAAAGATCATAGGCATTTATCAAAAAGCCAAAATCCATTCTCTTCACACTCTTTCTCACTCTTTTTCTCTCTCTTTCACACACACACACACACACACACACACACAGACACCTTTTAAAGTTTCTTCCACAGAATCTCAATGAATGGCATGAGGGACCAAAAAACGTGCCTTCAAGTTTCTCCACTTTTATTTAGATCCACTTAAACATATTCATGTCAACTTGGACAGTGAGTATACTGTTCTTTACATCATCCAATACCTTGCATCACCATCACTTTCATAAAATAGATCATTTGTCTACCATCACTTGCCTACCAGCCTCACCAGAACTCTTGTTTTGCAACTTACCAGTTGTCCAATTCCCATCTGCTTCCACTCTTGGGTTAATGTACAATAATATGCAATTAACTAGCATCTCCTTTAAACTTTTTTCCTTTAAAGTTTCACTTTATTTTAAAAACATTCTATTTCCAGAGCCAAAATATATGGACAGGATGCAAATGAAAGTAACAAATCATCTTGTCCAAATACTTTGAAAAATGGACCCTGTGTCCACTTGATGCTCTCAATTTCTACTTCCTCCAGTTCCATCATCCGTTTCAGAAGCTTACTTTCTACAGTGTTTTTCTACCTATTTTCTATCTCATATGCAGGTAACAACAAATTATGTTCAGCCAAAAATAGTTTAAAAAACAAACCAGTGCCAAAACATTAAAAAATTCCTGACATACCCTTTGTGCATTAGTCTTACAATCTGTACACTTAAATAACTCCAGGAGGCTTCTTTTTTTTTTTTTTTTGCTAAAAATTTACCAAAATATTTTGAACACATAAAAATATTTTTAAAAAAACAAAAACAAAAGCCCAGCATAAATTTAGTTGTATAGGCATTGGTTAGAGAACATTGTTTTCGCTAAGGATTATATTCAAAAAAGTTTCTCTTGGGTTTTTACTAAAACTCTGATTCTGAACCTTATAGCTTATAATGGTGTTAACTATTAAAAAAGGAGGAAATCTAATTTAGCTCAATTTATTATAATAGATAAAGAGTATGTCTGTACTATAATAAAAAATAAACATATTTTTGGTTATTTAGAGGCCGTCTTCCTGACCTGTAACTAAAATAACTGTATTTGATTTAAACTTATTTACTTGCAGTAAATTATGGAAAGCTAAAACTTAAAGGTCTGAATAATCAGTTATGAGTAAAGAACACCTGTTGATGGTCCTGTGACCATTCAGAACAAGGCCTTTGCTGAAAAAAAAAAAGAAATCACTAGTATTGAATATAGCCCTTAGTCATATGAGATATGAGCTTTATGAGCAACCCAGCATGTAAAGAACGAGGTTGACTTTGCCAGCCACCCACTCCTTGAGAGGACAGTAGTATTCATAGTGAAACTGCTCAAACTCGGGCGTCTGGCGGATTTCACATAAGAAGGAGAGATCAATACCTGACTCCAAAAGGAGGAGGAGCAGGGGGAATACAAAGAGCAGCAGGCCCAGGCCCACCACAAGGAGCCGGGAAAAACTCTTGACCAGTGGGTTCACCCGAATATGGCCACTCAGAATGTCATAGCTCCATGACAAAGCTTGGTGAGCCTCCTTCAGCTCTTCTTCTTCGGCCATTAAAAAGGCGTTTTCATCTGCTTCTAGTTCCTCAAACGAATCTGTGTCTTCTTTTTCCAACTCCAGCCTAGATGGACAGTCAAAGAGCATGTCAATCTCATCATCATCAATGGGGGTAGGGAGCAGGCTGGCACTTGGGTTGTATGCCAGTTCAGAGATGGTCAAGGGCTCTTCTTTTATTTTATCTTCCTCTTCACTTGAGGGCTCTTCATACTCATGGGATTCCTTTACTGGTGAGCTGGAGGTCAAGGGGGCAGAAATGTCATCTTCTTTGGGCAATGGAACACCTGTAAAGAGACATATTTTTCTTAATTTTAAATTTCAAGTTTTCTTCTTCCACAAAAATCTGTAAATGGAAACAAACCAAAACTAACTAATGAATGGAAATTAGGGAATCCATGAAATTGTTCTGTGGAATCCTTTTAACAAAGTCATTTTTAGTATAGATCCTATACCATAAGTTCTAAGGTCAACGTGTTAAACCCAAGATAACCAAAATAGCTCAAATGGTTGGCAGTATTTACAATATTTACATGTGCAATTATGGTCTGAAAACCCCCAACTTTGGTCATGTTTACAAGAACAAAATGACAAGAAATCACTATTATAATTTTGAGTAGTGTCTTTTGGAAGTCAACACTGTCATCCAACAAAGTATTGTAGTAAAATTAGTCTACTATCTAATGGGATATTTTATTATGTTATGTATTTTTTCTAGTCTTCATTCTAGGCACAATTTTGTGGTTTCTCATTTCATATAACTGCAATCATATCTGTATGAACAAATTTACATCTTGTTCCTTTAACATTTTAACTTAGACATTTTCTCTGTTGACATAAACTCCCACTGGCATTTATAATGGTTGCCAAATTTTCTACTTAGTTAATGCAATAATAGTTGCCTATTGGCAAACATTTAGATTGCTTTACAGTTGTGAAAAAAGAATGCTATGAGACATCTTTACATATACAGCCTTTATCACCTCTTGTTTCAGCTCATTGGACAGATGTCTGAAAGAAAAATTGCTTGGTCAAAAGGTATGGACATTATTTCTTAACCTTTATTGGGGGAGAGGTATTTCTCAACCCTTCATTTTATAGATGGGAAACCCTTCAAATATCAGGCCTAAGGCCAGTTCTCCTAATTTTGAGCCTTGGGTTCTTAGTGGGAAAGGTAGAATCAAAGAAATTTTCCCTGGGAGGGATGTACAGTATAATACCAAATTGGTAGCCAAGTACATTAGGTAACTGTAAGCCTGCTTTTAATGAATGCATTTCAGTATTTTCCTCTCTTCAAGAAGTACAGGAAGTGATGTCACCAAGATGCCAACATCGGTTGTTCCTGACTTCTCTTCCCCTCACAGGAAGAACATCTAACAACCATTCACGGACAAGACACCACTGAGAAAATCCTAAAACATGGAAGTGAGGCTGAAGTACCCTCTTGTACCACAGAGACCAAGACAGACTGCATTGGGAGGGTAAGAGGAATGGCTATGCTGATCACACTGCTTCTCCCCTAGGCTGGCACAACATCACACTGAGAGATCTCCTCAGAGACTCCAGTTCCTTCAGTGGGAAAAGAGAGCCAGGGGTGACATCCAGCTCCCCACCTAGCATTGTGGGTCACTTCATGGGAGCCCTTACTCTGTATTTCACCCCCCAGTATCACAGGGGAATCTGTGGGGCTCAACCACTGGGAATTCATGATGGAGAAGGTGGGGGGGCTTCCAACAGTCAGCACTCAGATCTTGGCAGACTGAGTTCCTACCTGCAGAGCCAAGTACTAGTCCCAACCAGTGGCTGTGCTCATATGCAGAATCTAGTTGGTGGTGCATCTAACCAGGGAAAGGACTGCCAGATTCAGATCCTCAGAGGAGGAGTTTTGACAGCCCTGGAGCCTGGTCTACTCACACCCAGGCAGAAGAACTGAGTCATAACCCCACCCACTGTGGATCCTAGATCCCTGTCCCTTCCAACCAGAAAGCCTGTTTGGGAAAATTTGGGAGTTACCTGAAGTGGGCTCTCCCAGTCCTACCCAGGCAGGAGGGCTGAGTCATAGCTCCATCTGACAGGAAGGGCTGGTAAGAACACCTGGAAGCTGCATTATCCAGCCACACTGGAGCTGAGAGGTGGGCAGGCAGAGCTGATTGCTTTTAGAGCAAAGCAAGTGGTCCAGTTTGGCCATGGAACTTGGGGCCTGGATCAGATTGATTGAAGACCACAAACAGAGTGGCCTAGGAGCTGCTTCTCCCACTGTGCCTAAATTAGCTTACGTAGGGAAACTAAGTCATAGCCCGACTCATTGCTGAATACAGCCTTCAGCTTATCTGACCAGGGAACCTTACCAGAGCACACAGAAAGCTGTGTAGCCCATCCAACAGGCCTAACAGTGGCATTTGAACCAAAAGTATAGCCCATGGCTTCCCCTGTCTGCAGAGCAAAACTGGTAGTCTCACCTGACCAGGATATCCAGTAAACACTCTTGCCTGACTTGGGTCCCCAAACAAACAATGAGCCATGCAGGCCCTGGGTCCCATCCTGTTGCCCTACCAGGGTAGGGAAGTTAATTCATAGCCCCATTTACTGCTGAGTATAGTTCCTAGTCCCGACCATCTAGTCAGCCTGACCAGAAAATCCAGACAAAAGAGCCTAAACTATAGCCTCAGTTGGGCATGGAATGAAGCCCTCAGTCCTATCCAGCTGTTCTCAGCCAGTGGCACACACCCCCATCCACAATCTCAGAGCTTAAACAGTTGCCTTGCCCCAAAATAGACTCTCATGGCAGGTCTCACCTGCCCAAGGATGCTAATAGCAGACACCAGAAACCCAAACTGAGCTGGCTGATGAATCCAAAGCAAATCTGCAAAATCTGGAAGAGGAGACCATTTACTCAAATGCACAAATACCAGCGTAAGGAATCAAGGACCATGAAAAATCAGGTAAATATGACAACACTAAAGGAAACTAAAAAAGCACTAATAACCCTAAAGAAATGGAGATCTATGAACTGTCAAAGAATTCAGAAAAATCCTCTTAAATAAGTTTAGTGAACTACAAGAACACATGACAACTAAACAAAATTAAGAAAGCAATGAATGAGCAAAATGAGAAGTTCAACAAAGAAACAGAAACCATTTTTAAAAACCAAACAGAAATCCTAGAGCTGAAAAATATAATAACTGAAATGAAGAAATCAATAGAGATCTTCAAAAGAAGACTCAACCAGGAAGAAGAAAGAATCAGTGACCTGGAAGATAGGATATTTGAAATTATCCAGTCAGAGAAGCAAAAAGAAAAAAGAATGAAAAAAAGTGAAGCCAGCCTCAGCCCATAGGACTTAACAGGACACAATGAAAAGAAACAATATTAGTATTAAAGGAATTCCAAAAAGAGAAGAGAAAAAGGACAGAAAATATATTAAAGAAAGACAGTAATGGCTGAAAACTTCCCAAACCTGGGAAGAGAAATAGACATCAAGAGGCCCAAAGGATCCCAAATAGGTTGAACTCAAAAAGGGCTCTACTGAGACATAAATATAAATTGTCAAGAGTCAAAGACAAAAGAATTTTAAAACCAGCAAGAGAAAAGAGATAAGTTAATGTAAGGGTGCACCCATAAGACTACTGGCAGATTTCTCAACAGAAACTTTTCAGGCCAGAAGCTAATGGCATGACATATTCAAAATTTTGAAAGAAAGAAACTGTCAACCAAGGATGCTATACCTGGTGAAGCTGTCCTTCAGACATGGAGGGATAAAGACTTTCCCAAACAAAAACTGAAGGAATTCATCACCATTAGACCTACCTTACAAGAAATGCTAAAGGGAGTCTGTTAGGTGGAAAGGACACTAATTAACATCATAAAAAGTAAGAAGGCAGTGTAAAACTCACTGGTAATATAGTCAAAGTTAGATTCTGTATGGTAATGCTGGTGCTCAATTCACTTACAAATCTAGTTTACAAGTTAAAAAACAAATGTAAAAATAACCATACCTACAATAATCTGTTATTAGTTATACAATAACAAAAGCAAATTGTAATATCAATAACCTAAAATGTGAGGGGGAGGAGAAGTAAAAGTGTAAAGCTCAGGGATTGTACTGAAGTTAAGTTGTTATTAGCTTAAACTGGAGTGTTACAATTTTAAGATATTTTTATGTAAGCTTCACGGTAACCAAAAGGGAAAAACCTGTAGTAATTACAAAAGGAACATGATAAAGAAGTCAAAGCATACTGATACCACAAAACATCAAAATAAGAAACAGCACGGTAAGAAACAAGGAACAATGGATCTACAGAACAGCCAGACAGTAAGTAAAAAAATGGCAATCGTAAGCCCTTTTTTTAAATTAATAATTTAAACATAAGTGGATTACATTTTCCAATCAAAAGACATAGAATGGCTGAATAAATTAAAAAACAACATCCAATGATATGCTGCCTACAAGAAACTCACTTTAGACATAAAGACACACATAGACTGAGAGTGAAGGGATGGAAAACTATATTTCAAGCAAATGGCAAAAAAAAAAAAGCAGAGGTAGCAATACTTACATCAGACAAAATAGAGAATGGACTTGAGGATACGGGGAGGGGGAAGGGTAAGCTGGGACAAAGAGAGAGTGGCATGGACATATATACACTACCAAACGTAAAACAGATAGCTAGTGGGAAGCAGCCAGGTAGCACAGGGAGATCAGCTCAGTGATTTGTGACTGCCTAGAGGGGTGGGATAGGGAGGGTGGGAGGGAGGGAGATGAAAGAGGGAAGAGATATGGGGCCATATGTATATGTATAACTGATTGACTTTGTTATAAAGCAGAAACTAACACACGCCACTGTAAAGCAACTATACTCCACTAAAGATGTTAAAAAAAAAAGACTGTAAACTAAAAATGGTAAAAATATACAAAGAAGGTAATGATAAAGGAGTCACTACATCAAAAAGATACAATTGTAAATATTTATGTGCCCAACATTGGTGCACCCAAATACATAAATCAAAATCTAACCCAGCTAAAAGGAGACATAAACAGCAATACAATAACAGTGGGGACTTTAATACTCCACTCACAGCAATGAACAGATCATCCAGAGAATCAATAAGGAAACAGCAGATTTGAGCAACACTGTAGATCAAATGGACCTAACAGACATATAGAGAACATTCTATCTGACAACAGCAAAATACACATTCTTCTCAAGTGCACATGGAACATTTTCTAGGAAAGACCATATGTTAGGCCATAAAATAAATCTTAGCAAATTTAAGAAGACTGAAATCATACTGAGTACGTTCTCTGACCACAATGGTGTGAAACTAGAAATCAATAAGAGAAAAACTGGAAAGTTCATGCATAATGGAAATTAAACAATCTCCTGAACCAATGGATTAAAGAAGAAATTAACAAGGAAATAAAGTATCTTGAGAAACAAAAATGGAGATACAACATACCAAAACTTATGGGATTCAGCAAAAGCAGTTCTAAGAGGGAACTTCATAGCAATAAATGCCTACATTAAGAAGCAAGAAAGATAAAAAACCCTAACTAACTCTATGCCTTAAGGAACTAGAAAATGGTGGTCAAACTGAGCCCTAAGTTAGCAGAAGAAAGGAAAATAGGAAAGATTAACCAAACTAAGAGTTGGTTCTTTGAAAAGATAAACAGAATTGACAAAATTTTAGCTAGACTAACCAAGGAAAAAAGAGAGGACCCAAATTAACAAAATTATAAATGAAAAAGGAAACATTACAACTGCTACCACAGAAATACAAAGGATCATAAAAGGCTACTATGAACAAATATACACCAACAAACTGGACAACCTAGAGAAAATGGAAAAATTCTCAGAAACATACAAACTACCAAGACTGAAACAAGAAGAAATAGAAAGTCTGAATCAACTAATTACTAGTAAGGAGACTGAATTGGTAATCAAAAATCTCCCAGTGAAGAAAAGCCAAGGACCAGATGGCTTCACTGGTGAATTTTAAAGAATTAACACCAATCCTTCTCAACTTCCAAAAATATCAAAGTGAAGGGAACACTCCCAGTCTTATTTTGTGAGGCCAGCATTACCCTGATACCAAAGCCAGAAAGGACTCTATTAGAAAACTACAGACCAACATGCCTGATGAATATAGATGCAGAAATTCTTAATACTAGAAAACTAAATCCAGCAGCAGATTAAAAGAATCATTTACTAGACTTCCGGGAAGATGGCGGAAGAGTACGATGCAGAGATCACCTTCCTCCCCACAGATACACCAGAAATACATCTACACATGGAACAACTCCTACAGAACACCTACTGAACGCTGGCAGAAGACCTCAGACCTCCCAAAAGCCGTGTGGATGAAAGGCTTTTGGTGCTGCAGCCAGGAGCTAGTGCTGTGCCTCTGAGGTGGGAGAGCCAACTTCAGGACACTGGTCCACAAGAGACCTCCCAGCTCCACATAATATCAAACAGCAGAAATC